ATATGTGGGATGCCTGCCACAGCATGGCTTGATGAGCAGTGCCATGTCTGCACCTGGGATCTGAACCGGTGGACTGCTGGCCACCAAAGCGGAACGTGCACAATTAACCGCTGCACCACCAGGCCGGCCCACTGTGCACTTTCTGATCCAGCAATCCCATTTCCAGGAATTTATCCTTCAGAATCACCCACACAAGAATGTTTGGTGCAGCAGTGTTTATAATAGCAAAACTGTTGGAAATAACTTAAATCTCCATTAATAGGGGAGCAATGAAATAAATTATGGAATATCTATTCTATGAATTCTATACAGCTATTAAACATAAGATGAGGGAGACTTAATTCCATGCCATGGACAAATCTCTAGGATGTTTCTACTAGATTTATAGTGGTCAGCACACTTTTTCTGTGAAGGGCCAGTTAGTAAATATTTTAGGCTTTGCCAGCCACACACATCTCTGTCACCTATTTTTCTTCCTTTCTTTTTTTACATCACCCTTTAAAAATGTAAAAACCCCGAGTTGGACAAAAACAGGCTGCAGGTTGGATTTGGCCCGGCGGTCACAGCTTGCCCTCAGCAGAAGCCAGATCCACGAGGACGAGGAGTTTGTGTGTCTCCTTTACCTCTAGCACTCTGAGGATGCTCATCACTCAATAACTGTTTAATGAATGAATGAAGTTTGGGTGGAAAAAATAAAATCAGAGAACAGTACGGATAGCATGATCTCAGTAACATAAAATATCACTAAAGGACAAGGATGGACACACAAGTGCATAGGGAGGGGACTGAAGGATGCTGCCGCTGTTGTCGTTGGCGACCTCTAGGGGAGGAGAGTCAGGGTCAAGAGTGAAGGGGAACTTTGTGTTTTGCTCCCTATTAGCTTTTGTGTATTGTTTGAATTTTGTTTTACAAGAATGGGTTTATATATTATTTCCATAATTAAAAAAATTAAAAAGGAAAGGAAAAATGTGAACAATACTGTTTGAAGGACAGAAAAATGCGCAAAAGATATAATAGGCAGTTTATAGAAGAAATACAACTAGATTCTGAATGAATGCAAAGATGCTTATCCTCACTAATAGCGAGTTAAAAGCAAAGTAAAACAACAAAAACATTTTCCCTCCACTTATTAGACTGGAAAGATTAAAATGAGAGATAATATCTGGCAGTAATGGGAGTGCCCGGTGGGGGTTTGTTACAAACAGTGGGTCTAGAATTGGGAAAGTCTGCTGGTAACAGTGATGAATGTTTACCGAGACTGTGCCACGTGCCAGGCATCGTGCTGCGTGCTTCACTGCTCTCTCCTAATTCTACCAACCCTAAGAGGTCGGTCTGTATCACCTCCATTTTATAGGTGACAAAACAGGCTCAGAAATATGGAGCCACTTGCCCAAGGTCACGCAGCTAATCAGTAATGGAACCAGGACTGAAACTGTAGCCTTAACCATTGTGCAAAAGGAAGTCAAAGTCGGTCCAAGAGCACATCCAATGGGGGCGTGATGCGAGCACGGCTCTTGGAGGATGTGGATCTTAAAGAACAGTCAGGCAGAGACAAGGGTGAGGGAGGAAGGCCATCCAGGTAGAGGGAACAGCGAGAATGAAGACACTGAGAGAGAAAAATGAAGTAGCAAGTAGTGAAATTGTCTAGGTGTTGGGAATCTCAGAATATAAAACTGAAAAAGTAGAGGAAGCAGGTCTGCCCTTCAAAGAACTTGAACTTGCACAGAATGTAGTAGACGGAGCCCATGATTCTGGGACCCCAAAGGGTCTGTGCAGTTTTGGCAAGGGGCCCCAGACTTTATATACAAGGGCAAAAAAACATATCTTGAACATACATGCGCTACTATTTTTCTAAAATATTTGGATGCTTTTGTGACTGATAAAATACAAATTCATTTAAGAGAGTGAGTAAATTCATGACCACCCGCCCACCTTGTTTTCTCAAACAGTGGAGACCAAAGCACAGCTGCTCTCAGGAGAGGAGTCCCCTCTTTGAAAAGGATCAGAACCTCTGCCTTGCTTCAGTCTCTTTTAGATAACTGAATAAGGTCGTGGTTCAGAGCTCAGGCTTTGCTGAAGACAGAGCTGGATTTGAATCTTAATTCACTACTTATTAGCTAAGTAACTTTGGGCAAGTCAAAGCCTTTCTCAATATTTTTTTTTTTTTACCTTGTAAAAGGGTAACAATAGCTATCTTAAAGGACATTTCCATGAGATAATTCAATGTAGCACTTAAAAACGTGTTTGGTATACAATAAACACATAAGGAAAGCTCCTATTATTATTGAGGCACAGAGGTATTGAGTAAATTACAAAAGGTAAAGGTTAATGGCAGAGAGACAACTAGAACCCAGATGTCCTGACGCCCAGATCAGTGTTTGTTCCAAGCTTCTCTGTGCCATCTGGAGTCCCAGTGCCATCTACTCCCACTACAACGGCCTGCCTAACTCCTGGCACTCACCTACCTTAAAGAGGTGCGGGTGCTTAATGTAGATTCTCCCTCTGGTGCCCCCCATTCCCAGGGCCCTGAAAAGTAACAGATAGTGGTAAGGACTCCAGCAGTTGCAGCGCTAGTGGTAGACCCCTAAGCTTCCCCGTCTTCAGCACCAAAGCTCTGAGACTTACTTGTTGGCTCGAGATCCCAATACGAAGGTGGTAGATTCATTCAGCCGAGCTGGGTCCCACTACGCAAAAAATAGAGAGGCTGGTGAGGGTGAGGTTTATCTCGTGGGCAGACAGAAAACACTCCTTCCCCTGCCCTCTCCTACCACCACTTTCGTCCATTATTCAACAAACAGTTGACTCAACAGACTGAGTGCTTACAGTATGCTAGGCCCTAGATACTGGGGATAAAGAGATGAACAAGACACAGTCTCTGTTCTCTAGGGGGCCATAGATGTAGGTACAGATAATTATACCATCATGAGATGGGCAATGACACAGATGGGTGGGGGTGTGCAAGGTGCCAAAGGAAGGCTTCCTTGTAGAGGTAATTCCCAAGTTAATTCTGAAAGGGTGAGCACAAGTGAGACAGGGTAGAGGCAAAGAGGAAGGGTTGTGTGAACAAAGGCAGGTGAGCACTGGCTTGGCATGTTGGAGAAACTACAAGCAATTCTGTGTTGCGAAAGGAAACAGCACACATTAGGGAGTGGCACTAACGAGGCTGGAGAGAGAAGCAGAAAGGGGCTGGAGGCCCTAGTACACTTCATTTTGGGGTTTGCATTTTATTTATTCTGTAGGCCATGGGGAGTCATTGAGGGCCTCTAAATAGGGAGAACCAGATTTGCTTTTTTTTTTTCCTTCTGTGAGGAAGATTGGCCCTGAGCTAACATCTCTTGCTAATCTTCCTCTTTTTGCTTGAGGAAGATTGTTGCTGAGCTAACATCTGTGCCAATCTTCCTCTATTTTATGTGGAATGCTGCCACAGCAAGGCTTGACGAGTCGTGCTAGGTCCGCACTCTGGATCCAAACCTGTGAACCCTGGGCTGCTGGAGTGTAGTGCACGAACTTAACCACTATGCCACCAGGCTGGCCCTGCTATATTTGCTTTAAAGATAGCCCACTCTTCCGCAATGTGGCTAATGGATTTGAAGTGGCAAGATTACAGACAGGGAGAGCAGTTTAGAAGTTGCTGGAATAAAGCATTTTTGAGAGAAGATGAGGGTCTGAGCTAGTATAGCAGTAAGGATGAAGAAGAGGAATAGGAACTCTGATATATTTAGGAGGTAGAATCATTCCAGGATTTCACTGGATGTAGACAGGGGAAGGAAAGGAAGACGCAAAGATGACTGAAGTAGAGAATGTAAAAGAAGGTCGATGAGGAAAGATTGTGATTTCAATTTTGGATATGTTGAGTTTGAAATACTATGAAAATTCCAGGCAGAGAGGTCTAGCAGACAGTAGGATATACAAGTTTTAAACTAGAAGGAGGTGTGGGAGTGAACAAAGAGGTATGGGAACTTTAGCACCTACTGGTCCCTGAAACCACAAGAGGGGATGATTTAGATGATCCAGAGAGAAACTTTAGGTGGAGAAGTGGGCCAGGAGAGAATTCTGGGGAATAGCCACTTACATGGGTCACTGCTGAGGAAGAACTTATAAAAGAGACAGATGGGATGTTTGGAGGGGAACAGAGAGATCCAGGAGAATGCAGGATGACCCACTCTAAGGGAGCAGAGTTTAAGAAGAAAGGTGTGGTCACCAGCGAGAAAGCAGAGAGGGCCAGTAAGGCAAAAGGTGGACCATTTCTACTGGACACAGCCTCAAACAGGACCGTGGAGCTTTTACCAACCTTACTGGGCTTCCATATATGATTTTATTTGAAGAAAGGACTCTATTGCTAAAAGAGCTTACAAACAACTGTTTTAGAGGCAATAGAGGATAATGCACAGACTCTGCTGTCAACAGACCTTGGGTTTGAGACTTGGCTCTACCGCTTACTAGGTATGTGACTTTGGGCAACTCTCTAAGCTTTAGCATCCTCAAGTGTATTAAGTGTATAAGATACCTACATAAAATAAGATAATTTCTGTCCACAAGGCAGTTGGTAGGAAAGAAATCTCCTCAACTACAGAAGAGTAACAGAATCTTTCTCATAAGGTTGTTATAAAGATTAAATGAGATAATCCATACAAAAGATTTAGGGCAGTGCCTGTTACTTATTAAGTACTGAATAAGTATTAGTGACCACTAACTTTTACAGGGAGAAGACTTCAGCAAAGACTCAAGCCCTCTCTTCATTTTGCCCCTAATTCCAGTCCCTACTTGGGATCCTTCTGGGAGGCCAGTGAGGGGTTGGGGGCTGGGGCATAGGGGAAGCGGAAAGATGGCTCTGGAATGGCATGCCCACATCGTTTACCACCCCAGCCCCTTCCCCTCCTGGCAGACCCCAGAGCCTTGACTGAGGCTCCCTGGGACAGTGGTTACTGCCCTGCTCACAAAATCATACCTTAGGGCCTTCTCGGCGAATTGGTTCACAGGATTTTGGTTTCCATCTGATTGGAAGGAAAGAAGAAAGGTGAATTCTCCAAGGTTGGGCCTAGGAGTGGAAGAAAGCTTGCTGGTGATGGTGGGAGCTCCTCATAGGCTCTCACTTTAGCCCTGGGCGTACTTCTTCCTGGCAACCCATTAGGTACAAAGAAAAAAAGCACTGGACTAGGAGCCATTTTAGGACTGGCTCTGATATTACCTAGCCACGTGGGCAAGTCCAGGAACCTCTCTGAGTTGTAGCTTTCTCATCTGTCAAAAGGAGTAAACAGCAGCATCTGCCCTACCTAGCCTGTGTTCTGTGGAGTGACCTTACTCCATGCAGGAGACAAATCTAAGGTATGATGATTAATACTATTCCATTCCTGAGCCAGTGGTTTCAAACTACCCCCATCCCTCTTAACCAGACCAGTTTGGTTTATCTGCTGTATATATTGGGCTCCCATGTAAAGTTTTGTTTGAAAAAAGATTCTGTTGCTTTAAAAATCTTTGAAAGTGACTACCCTGGAGGCAACGTAGTAGAGTTCTGCCTCTTATTAGCTGTATGACCTTGGGCAAATAATTCTGTGAGTCTGTTTCCTTATCTGCAAAATTAATTCTATCTTCATTAGAGGGTGGCTGTAAGGATTAAAAGGTAAAGTATGTAAGGTGTTTAGACCAGTTATGGCACATTATAAACATTCAATATATACTGTATTAACAATAAAAAACCTCTGGTGTTTAATCAAGCTGGGCTGAACTGTTCTGGGGCAAAAACAGGCTAAACCAATCTCCCCCTCGCTGCCTTCTTTCCCCACCCCTCAAACCAGGGCACCCCTCCTCCATGGTGACTTAAACAGATGGATCTGATTTCACCAGGCACAGAACTCGGGCCTCTTTTCCTCCAGGCGCACACCCTCCCTGCTCCTCCCTTTGGCTTTGCTGGCCCCTACTCACACCATGCCGGCGGCTGCCCGGTCATTTGACAGGACGTGTCCAGGAGGCCGTCCCTTCCTCTGCCACAAAGAACAGCTGTCAGAGGCCTGACCCTGTGAGAAGCCCCACCCCACCCCATCCCACTGGCAGGTCCAGGGTCCCTTGGTGGAGACGGTTTTCCAAAGAGACCAAATGATGCTTGAGAGTGAACAGGGAGAGTGACTGTTTCCAGGGTTCCTGCCTCTCAGCTAGAAAGGCTCAAAAGTGCATTGATGAAGCCTACTATCTTTGCTGGAGCTGCAGTGCCTTTTCCCAGACAGAAAACAAGGAGATGGCTTACCTTTTTGGGAATGGGGCTTCCTCGATGGGCACATTCCTCTTCTGTCTGCCGGCCACGCTGGAGGAGAAGGGCAAAGAGTCAGAGGAAGGCCAGTAACTAGGAGCTGCAGGTCCCCTGGGGTTGCAGAAGACAGAGCCCTGGGACTGCCCCTTCCAGCCCCTCCCTGAGCCAGGCCTCAGAAGCCCTCCTATTTGGACCTGGTCCTACAAATGGATGGTATGTGAGACTTCCCTGAGCCCACAGAGTTCACATGCCTCCCGGCTTGATTGGTCTCCCCCTCCAATACCCCAGGACACAGTGACTCTGACCTTTATCCCTGGAAGCTCATGGGTCAATCTGGGTATTACTTTTTCTCCATCTGAAAACAGCAGTTTAGCCTGAAAAGAAAAGACCAAGTGTTAACAGTCACTATTTTGGTGGGTAAGCCTCTCTGCCACCATTTTTATAAACACAACTCCAAACTGGCTTAAAACCTTTTCATGGTCAGTACAAAGGCACCCCAAGATACGCATATAGATATCTGTTTTTTTAAAAACTCGAATAATTAATAATTGTTGAAAAATTAGAAAATGTAAACAAGCGAAATAAAAATCAAACCTGCAATCTCAGGACCCACAGAAGACTGTCAATATTTCAATGTGAATTCTTCATTACTTTTCCATGTACACATACACTATATATTTTTCCTAACTAAATGCATTAAAATAATACATATGGCTCAGTAGGCTGCTGTTTTTCATTTAATATCAAGTACCTACCATGTAAGTGCTGGGGACACAGCAGTAAACAGCACAAGCAAGGCTGCTGCTCTGGTGGAGTTTTTATTTTGTGGGCAAGCTGGATAAGCAGCAAATAAATAAACATATAAACAAGGTAATTTTGGATCATGACAGATGCTCTGAAGGAAAAAAAACCCCAGGTAGATGTGAGAGAGAATCGCCAGAGGGCCCCTTTACGCAGGTGGTCAGGGAAGGCCTTGCTGAGACAGCCTCCGAGCGGCGCTGTGAAGAAAAAGCTGCGGAGAAGCATGTTTCAGGAGGAGCGCAAAAGCCCGAAAGTGGGAACAGACTTGACTCATTTGAAGAAGAAAAAGGCGGCCTAGCAAGTCATGGGCACAGGAGAGAGGTGAGTGAGGAGCGTGGTGAGGTTGGCAGGGGCCCTGGAGGCCATGCAGAGGTGGCTTCTTGGAGCAGCATGTGACAGCCCTGGGCACTCCCTCTCTCTGGAAACACTCTTTTCTACTGGCTCCCGTGGCCACACTTCTCTGGCTTCCCTCCTACTTCTTTGGCCGCTCTTTATTAGCCTTGTTTGCTGGTTCACCCCCCTCAGTCTGGTTCTCTTCATTCTGTTCTCTTTCATTAGATATTCTATCTGCACTCATCTATGCTCATAGCTTCAGTTAACATTAATAAACTGATGACTCCATAATTTTTATCTTCAGGTGTACCCTCTCCTTTGACCTCCAGATTTATATAACAAACAGTCTGCCCATGACTATGCGTGGATACCTCAATTTGCTAAGCCCAAAACTGAACTCATGGTCTTCTCCTCCAAATGCTGTCTTCTCAGTGAAGAGCGCACCAGTGCAATGTGTAATTATGCACATGTCTGTGAGGTAATTTAACTCTATCTGTATGCCTGATGAGGCTGTAAGTTCTGTGAGAGCAGGAACCTGTGTGTTCATTTGCTATTTATTTGTGTTCATTTGTTTGTTCATTCATTCACTTGATCATTCGACAAAAAGTGCACACATAGTAAGAATCATATTCTAGGGCTAGGAATACAGCAGTGAACAAGATAGGGCTCAAATCTTATAAAAAAAGATTTTAGCAGAGGTAGAGGTGGGAGGGAGGCAGAAAATAAACAAATAAACTATTAATAACTTCAGATTGAAATAAATGGTAGAAATAAACAAGTAAGGTGATAGACATTAACTGGAGGTGGGAAAGGGAGTGAGATGAGAGGGCAACTTTAGATGGAGTGGCCAGGGAAGGCCTCTCTGATGACATCATATTTAAGCTAAGTCTGAAGAAAAAGAGGAGCCAGCTATGTAAGGAGTTAAGGGTAGAGCATGCTAGGCAGTGAGAACAGCAAGTGCAAAAGCCCTAAGCTTGGTGCGTGGAGAAGCAGAAAGGATTCCAGCATGCACTGAATGTGGTTAACAAGTATGAGGTGTGATGAGATGAAGTTAAAGAAATAGGCAGGAGCCAGGTCAGGCAGGGCTCTGTGGGTCATGGTAATGCATCAGGGTTTTGCTCTGTCTGCAATGTGAAGTCCCTGAAGGGTTTTAAAGAGGAGAGTGACACAGTCTGATTCCTCTTTAAAAAGATGGGTCTGGCTGCTGTGAGAAGGCACTGGCGGAAGGCAAGAGTGGAAGTAGCTCAGGGCTCAGATACACATGTGGGAATCATCAGCAGTTAAATTGGCTTCAAAGCCACAGGACTAGATGAAGTCACCTAGGATGAGAGCAAGCCCTGGAAGAGAAGGCGTCTGAGGACTGAAGTCTGGATGCACCAACAGTCAAGGCACTGGAGCCAAGAGAGGAGGGTTACAAGGAACACGGAACGATCCACTGCAACAAGTGCCAGCAAGAAGTGAGTAAGCTGAGGACAGGTAGGGTCCGCAGGACTTGACAACACGGAGGTTACTGGTGACCCTGATATAAGAGGGGTTCCAATGAAGTGGTGGGGACTGAAGCCAAAACAAAGCGGATAAAAGAATGGGAGGCGACCAAGTGGAGCCAGTGATGACCACTTTTTCCAACGTCTAGCTGTAAAAGGGAACAGAGAAACACTGTGGCAGCTGAAGGGGATTGTGGGTTCCAGGGGCGTCTGTTTTGGCTCCCCACTGTATTCCCAGTGAATGAACACACACGTGTAGAAACATGCATAGGGAAAAGAAGGAAACACATCAAAATATTAATAAGAGTTATTGTTGGTAGTGAGATGAGAAATTTTAACTTTCTGCCTTACAATGTATATTTTCTGATTTTAATATAACATTAGCAGCAGGTAACACTTACTGAGTCACTGTTACTGGTCTAAATCCTCTAAGAGTATTGCCACATTTAATCCCCACAACAATCCTATGAGGTAGAACCTTGGTCCCCATTTTGCAGATGAGAAAACTGAGGTTTAGGAATGTGAGATAACTTGCTGAAGGTCACATAGCTAGTCTGTGGTAAAGACAGGACTCACATCTGGGCAGTATAAATCAAGAGAAAACTTGCATTCTTAACCACCATGCCAAATTTTTTTTAATGAATGTATATTACTTGCACAAATAAAAAGGACAACTAAAAACAACTACTCTGCAAAACACAATCAAACAAACAAACAATCCAAGGCAACGTGCCGTAGACAAGATCAGCCGTTTCTCCCTAAGAAACACCTGTAAAGGGGTAGCTAAGGCGATGAGAGAACACAACTGAGATGGTCAAGATGTGGTATCAGAAGAGAAAACAAGCAAACCAAGTGTTAACCCAATCCAAACCAAGAAAAATACCTAGTCTAACTGTAACACGTCCAGTCTGCACAATCTTTTAATGCAACAGGAAGTTCATGCAGTTTAGACACAGGGACCCTAAAGAGCTTCCAAGTATCCTGGCCACCTGAAAGCGAGGCTCTGTTGTGAGGCAGCAATATGTGTTATAATTGTGAATATAACTACCAAGAATTTAATATTTAGTATGTTCTGTGCTGTGTGTACTCACGCTACGTGGTAGTTCTTGTCTATTATCCCATTCAATCCTCACAGCAAACCACTGGCGGTGGGGAGTGTCTTATTTTCAATTTTAGAGATGAGTTTGAAGGTCAGAAAGGTTAAAAGACTTGCTCAAAGTTTCTTGATTCGTCTGGTTTCAAGTTGGATGAGGATGAAACTCTCTGGGCCTTCCTGTGCTCTGATTCTATGTGCTCTGACCACAGACCCTTTGGTTCCCTACTCTGGCTTCCCACTTACATCCATCCTGGAAAGGGTGAATCTGCGAGGTAGACATGGGGATTCAGGAGACTGGAAAGGTGGTATAACCATCCATGGAGTACAGGTTATGCCCAATGTACTCAACTTTATCTTCATCTTTATCTTTCACTGGGACTCCTGAATAGTCTCATAAATTTCCCTTCCAATCTCCTTGGTACATTCCCAAACCAGGCTCCTCATGATGGCCACAGTGATCTTTCAAAATGCAAATCTCATTAGGCAGTTCTTCTGCTTAAAACTCTGCATCTATAATTTGGCTGGCCGTCTTCTGCTTGATCTGGTCTCTGCCTACCTCTCCGGCCTCCTCAAGAATCATTCTCTCTCCACCCTCTGAAAACCAGCCACATTAGCTTCTTTCTGTCCCTGAGACATACTCCCGCTCCCTTTTGCCCATGGGCTCTGTACCCTCTAGTGTACTCTCTCTTCGCCTGTTATGCTTACAGCCCTTCTAACGGTTTGCAGTTATACTGCATGACTACTGGAGTAATGTCAGGGCTTGGGGGGTAAGGACTATGTCCATCCTGGCACAGGACTAGGCACATAGTAGGCTCTCAATACATATTAGTTGAAGAGATTAAAAAAAACTCAAGAAAGCATTTTGGGATGTAAGCGAGAGTGAAGGTTTTATCAATTTAATTTTGATTCAGTTCAAACTTATAAGAATATTTTTAGCAAACTGCCATGTTTTATTATCAGCAAATGTTACAACTGATTACCACATTCTACAGTCCCAGAGTGAATTAATGAATTGGTCTCTTACGAATTTGGTTAGCTTAAATTTAACAGTCTATCAGAACCAGACTGGCTTTCACTGCACCAAGAGGATGGAGTTCTGCCCTTTCAAAGCTGAGGTCCAGGCTTGGTCTTGCTCTTTCCTGAGGCTGTCCCGAGTAGCTAGCCAGCCAGCCGCCCAGAAGATGATACTCTTTCATCTCCCAATAATTGCCTCCATATGACTGAAGTCAAACCAGCACTGTGGCTCTGACTATGAAGAAATTTCCATCTCTGACAGCTAATGGTTTCACAGTCAAGCACAGAACCTGAGTAATGCTGACAATTCCTATTAATAACAGCAGCTGACATATGCAAACAGGTTCACTACCATTTTGGGAATGTAGCCATTTATAGACCCGATGTCATGCCTCCTGACCACATCTTGAGAGGAAGAAAAGTAGAAAGGGTAATAGTCCCCATGATACCAAAAGAGGCTGTGACTACTTGGGCATCAAGTCAGAAGCACTTGCAGAGGTGAGACAGACCTTAGCTATTCTAACTCAGCCTTGTTCTAAGCCACAATTTCTTCATCTGTAAACTAGGGATTAAAACACGCCTTCTGTACAGGGTTTCTTCTGAGATGTAAATGACCTAACGCATGTGACAGCATCCATCACAGTACCTTGAATATAGCAGCTACTTCCCTTCTCTTCTGTCAACAACAGCTCCAAGAACTATCTGGATGTAAGTAGCTTGTTGGGCATCCTCCAAAATACCACTGATGATGGGATCACATTTCTTACCAGGGCTTGGAGGGCTAAACCCTGTGCCTACAACTCTTGTGCCCTTTGGTCTCACCTGCTCCAGGCAGCTCCGACAGGCCTCCTGGATCAGCTGCTCTGCGTCCACTTCTTCCCCGATGTTGTCTCGCACGTTCAGTGCTGCCTTCTGGAAGAACTAGGGAGAAGTACAATAGAGGACAAGGTCAGAAGTTCTGCTAATTTGCATCAACTTGAAGGGAACTGAATATAAAAGAGAAGCTCTTATCCTATCCTCATACAGAAGAGAAACATGATTATGAGCACGGCTTTGAGATGAGACAGATTTAGATTCATATGCCAGGCTGTTTCTCTACTCTTAAGGAGGAGGGTAATCATGGAGGTGCCCAAAGGATGGTCATTACAGTGTTAATGTGTAAATAGTGCAAAATCAAAGAATAACCTAAACCTCCACGTATAACTTAAATTACAGCATCTCCATACCATGAAATAATATGCAAATATTAAAAGTCATAGTAAGAATGGTATAGGAGAGTATATATATATTTTTTACATTGGCACCTGAGCTAACATCTGTTGCCAATCTTTTTTTTCTTCTTCTTCTTCTCCCCAAAGCCCTCCAGTACATAGTTGTATATTCTAGTTGTGAGTGCCTCTGGCTGTGCCATGTGGGACGCCGCCTCACCGTGGCCTGATGAGTGGTGCCATGTCCATGCCCAGGATCCGAACCAGCGAAACTGTGGGCTACTGAGGTGGAGTGCGTGAACTTAACCACTCGGCCACGGGGCCGCCCTCTAGGAGAATATATTTTTGAAGTGAAAGGTATTCAGGATGTACTGCCAAGTGAAGGAAGCAAGTTATAAAATAGTTTGGCATAGTATGAACCTATTTATATAAAACTCAGCAAAAAGCAAACAGAGAGGCAAAAGAACTGTAAGAACATATATTAAACAGCGGCGTATTATGAATGATTGTTTTCTCTTTTTTTCTTATCTATATTCTATTTTTATAATGTATATGTATTACTTCTGAGAAGAAAAAAAGAATGCCAGTGCCTGAGGTGAACAGGTGAGGGTAGGCCAGAAAAGATCCAGAGTAGGAAGTCCTAATTGAATTCTGACTTTGCCCATCCGTGAGACAGGAGCAGTGAGCCTGGCTACAGACCTAAGATACCGGCAGCTCCAATTGCAGGGGGAAAGGGGAGACTTCAAGAGTTTAGGAGGGAAATTTTTCAGGCCAAATTAAATGGAATGATCAGATGAGTTTGACTTTAAAACAAAAAACTAAAAACTGGAGATTAATACTGGTGTTTGGTATTGACTATTGGCTAAGTGAAAGCTGGTTAAAATAATAAGTTGGATACTTTACAGCCAGCTTGTGAGGTGGGCAGTGCAATGAACATATAGGGGTGAGTGTAAGCTACATCTAGACCTGAGAATGAAGTCTGGTTGTGACTAAGGCATTCTCAAACACTACTGGCAGAAATGCAAAATGGTGAAACGTTTCTGGAGAGAAATTTTCTCAAGAGAAAGGTATGTTTTCCCTTTTACCCACCAATTCCACAATTCCATCTCTAGGAATTTATCCCCTAGAAATACTCACACAAGTGAGCAAAGATAGACATTTAATATGTTCAGTGTAGCATTGTCTGTAACAGAGAAAAACTGGAAACAATCCAAATGTTCTAGGGACTAACTAATTAAATTGCGGTACAACCATACAATAGATTAACCCAAAACTATTACAAAAGAATCAGGGTGAGCTACTATGCACTGATCTAGAAACACAACCAAAATATATTGTTAAATGAAAAAAATTGAGTTGCAGAACAGTCTGGATAAACCGATCCTATGTATTTTTTTAAACATGCATGTGCACACACATACACAAATAAATATGGGTGACTATATAGTCACTGTTAACAGTTTGGTGTCTCTGGGAGGTGAGTTTTAGTAACTTTTGGTTTTCACTTTTTAGAATATCTGTATTCTTTTTTTCCAATATTTTCGTATGAAATTTTTCATACAGACAAGTTGAAAGAATTATTCAATGAATATCTAACACCTACCACCTAGAGTCTATAATGAACACTTTGCTATATTTGCTATCACATATCCATTTACCCAGCCCTTTATTCATCCATCAATCCATTTTATAAGCTACATTATTAGAACTTTTTTTTAAAAAAGGGGTATGCATTTAGTAATCACAGAAATAAATAATAAAGATTAACATTGTCTTGGATAAAATCAGCCATATCTAGAAGTTATAATCCCAAACACTTTTAAGAAAATGGGTAGCTGAGCTCTGGGAACATCGTTAAACAAAGTGAAAAGATGAGGTTGATCAAGAGTGTGAACTTATCTGAAGCTGTGATGTAATCACGTATTTGTACCTTGTCTGAAAACAAGTGTGATAAAGAAGTATCTTCACAGACTAAATAAGAGGGGAGCCCTGAGCCACAAATTGTGTTTATCCAGCATTTTTCCAGGAGAGCAAGTTCCTGAATCATGGTATCCACTATTGGGACAAGCTTTGGGACAAGAAAAGGGCATTGGAGGCAGACAATCTTGCACTGAATTCTGACCTAGCCTTTTCCTAGTGGCTTAACCTCTATTTCTGCATATGTAAAGGTATGGAGGCATGAGACTACATAGTGCATTCTGGGACATGCAAAAATTAGAGGTGGGAACAACGCAGTATACAGGGGTGTGTGGCTGGGGTATGATCACGGTGGCCCACATACGCCATGTTAAGGAATTTGGATTTTACCCAGGAGGCAATGGAATGTTGCTGAGGGATTTGAAATAGGGAAGAGACATTGCTGGATTCACATTTCAGAGGTCCCGGCAGCTGTATGGAGGGTGGCTTGAAAGAGGGAAAGAGTAGAAGCAATTAGGGATTTAGTGGGAGCCTGGGTGAGAAATAATGAAGGCCTGAACCAAGGCAGAGGCAAGGAAGAAGAAGGGCACGCTTGACAGATTGTGAAGTAGAATGCACAGGCTTCCACGACTGGATATGGAAGATGAAGGAGAAGGCAGAGCCCCTGGTTCCGGTTTCTAAGTGAATGGTGGTCCCATTCAAACTTAACGTGTCCAAACTGAGCTCCTGATTTCCCCAGCTTGTTCCTGTCTTCCTCATATCAAGTCAATGGCAATACAATTTTTACAGTTGCCCCGGGCAAATAACTTGGGAGTCATTTGCTTTTCTTTTTCTTTTGTCCTGCCCATCTGAATCATCGGCAAATCTTCTTGCTACCTTTAAAATACATACTGAATCTGACTTTTCCCCAACATCTTTACTACCAACACCCAAGCCACTGTCATCCCAAGCATCCTAACAGTCCTCCTGCAGTCTGTTCTCTACACAACAGTCAGAATAACCCTTTAAAAGTGTTAAGATCTGGGGCTGGCCCCATGGCTGAGTGGTTAAGTTTGTGCGCTCTGCTACGGGGGCCCAGGGTTTCGCTGG